GTCCCCTACTTCATTTTCAAACAGAAGTTCCTTATTTCTGGCATAATGAGATTTTCCCAGGTAGGGTCAAACTTTCAAGATACACAAAAAAAGTACAATGAGTTGTCTCGGTAGCTCTCTATCCCTTTCTACACAGATGACTGCTGAGGTGAAATCGATTTTCCTTCCTAAGTTTCCAGGTCTTCCTGCCCTCACCTTCTCTTTACTTCACTCATCTCGGAGTTACTACAGCAGGCCTTTCGACCTTCAGTCTCACTTTCCCCAATCTGAAATGTTAGCATCATTTTTTTTTTCCTGCTTAGTCCTCTAGCCTCAGTTAAGACATACACACACTGCACAGACTGTTGCTTGCCTGCTTCCCTAGACAAGAGTGAAGGCCGAGTTTCTCACTTTCTGTCTACTGTATATATATCCCTTTTACTCACACGCTCCAGAGCTTAATCATGCTCTCATCTCCTGTGTCTATGTCTGAGTCACACTACATAGTAATGTCGCTACGGCTTATTACTCTCTAGCGTGCCATAGTAACTTAAGTTAGGCTCCTAGACGCCAGCTGTCTTTCATTACTATGTTCCTAGTTCCAAGACAGCATGAAATCAAAAGCTGCTTAATATCAAGCTGCTCAAATACCACTTTCACTAAATGGTGAGAATGGAGATTAGAACCCACGATGCTCAGTTATGGTTAAGATCTCAGATGTTACCACACTTCATGATAAACATATTCACAAAAATCATATAAATATATATCTAACTTTGAATATACATACCCTCTACTTAATACAAGAGCACTGATACCAGAAGATCAAGGCAAGGCACAGAGAATAAAAAACATGGCCAGAAATGCCTGAGACTAGGAGAGCCAGCCCAAAGCCTAGTTTCTTAATCACCTCATTACAGAACCCAATGGTGTTTATGTCTTAAAAACTGCTTCCAAAATCAAAGGCAAGCTATGAAACAAATGAAGACTACAAAGAGAGATTGCACACCCATAGAGTATCTGTCCCAAGAGTGCTCCAGCTGCATTTCACTGGTAACATTAAAAGGTTTACATCAGGTACTTCAAAGTACATATTTATACATACTTACAGTCACTGAAATACAGAAACGAATCTTTGTCCATTACCATAAGCTAATGAGAAATTTTCAAAATTTTGGATTTAGCATTGTTATTATGGGCAATAAATATATAAATAAATGAACAAAACAAAGAGGCCATAACATCAATTAAAGCATGGCAACTTTTTAGCATTCAAATATTTGTTTTATTGCAATACACTGTTCAACTTAAAGACATAAGGTAGAACATGACAACTTCCTTTGAGAGCATTCTTGTCTTCTACTTCTAAGAGAGTTTAACAAGATCATTTGGAAAATTTATTTATTAAAATATTGATGATGAATTGTTCCCTTTCTGTTTAGATCACACTAATACAAGCTGTTCCTAATCCATTTTATCTACTTGTGATCAGTGCTCCCAGGATCTTATTTAAACAAGAACAATTAAATGCTTTCTAATGGAGGAAATGAAGAGGTATTATAGAAGAGTTTCGGAAACCAGGAACAAATCAATAGAGGTAAATACTGTGATTTTCAATCAAGTCATCTGCAGAGAAATGCAACCAACTGTTATCAGTGCCACCAAGTCCAATGATTCTGTTGTTTCTTCCTAGACCAGTCTCCTAACTGTACTAAAGACACCCAAACACACTACAATCAAACTTCAAGACAAGCTCTCATTTTGTAGTTCAGGCTGGTCTCAAACTCACTGTGTAGCCCAAGCTGGCCTCAAACCTGAGATCCTCGCCTCTGCCCCTCGGGTGCTCAGACACCAGATGCACACTTGCTTGGCTAAGGAAGGAAACATTTCTGGTGCCACAGGTACTGCTGGCAAAAGGCAGGCAGTTGTGAAATTTCTCAATAAATGATCGGTCCATGTCAACTCCAACTTACTAAATCAGAAATGTCTCCCCAGTGACAGGAGAATGTTACTTTTCATGTCCAATCTTGAGATACTCATGGCCCAGGGCCAGAGCTAAGAAACACACAATATTAATAAATGCTACAATATCACATTCTTCATTTTTTGTGGGGATGTTGGTTCATGCCAACTGCTCTTTGCTTCTCCATAAACAAAGAGACCAAAATAAAACAACAACTACTACTACCTTATTATCAGCCACTGATAGAAAACTTAATAGTTTGAACATCTGCTAATAACCCTGTGAGGACAGTGACAGTGCATAATAAACTGGAACTAAATATTAACATCTCAAGGCCTTTCTCACGGAAAGTCAACAGACTTAGGAGACTGATTTAAAAAACATCTATTTCCTAGCTTAAGCACAACATTTACAGAATATGGTATAAAGTATTAGTTGGGTACATTATGGCCAAAAATGTTTCATCAGTGACTTCAGAATGTGAGTCACTACCAGGAGTACACCAAGCAGAAGCCACTCAGACTCAGTAGGAGATGTGGGAAGGAGAAAGTAGACAGCGAAACAGTAACTATTGTCATATCACACAGCTAAGAAAATATTAGAAGTCACATATGTTAGGAAAAATAGGAGAATGAGCTCCAAAGTACTGACATGCTAGAATTTTTAAAGTCAAATTAAAATATCCATACAGTGAGTAAAAAAGGACAATTCTCTCTCACTGTCAGTGAGTTTACACCAGGGCAAACCAAACCCACAGAAAAATGGCCGAATGTTCCAGAGCACCCATGAGCAGCAAATGGCATGGCTGACAACAGTACCATCTGCCTCTAAGTTACTCTGTATGCTCCTGATTTGGTTTAGATGGACTCTCCTGTGTGAAGCATAGGCTATCCCAATCCTATGGTCAAATACACAGTGCTGCTAGCAGTCAGATTACAAACACAGCTGTCCTCGATTTTGAAGAGTTTCATGCTCTGCTCACTGTTAGCTTACTGCTGGGGAAAATTCCTTATTTCACTCAAGTCAGCACACAAAAGCAGGTACTATTTACACTGAATTCATGATTCCTTTCCCTGAAAGAAATATGTCTGTATATTGCTGTAACATATTAAAGTGATTGCTTTTTTTTTTTTTTTTTTTTTTTTTTTTTTTATTTTATTTTTTTTTTTTTTTTTTTTTTTTTTTTTTTTTTTTAAGACAGGCTAGGCTAGAACTCACTCTGCAGCCCAGGCCAGCCTGGACCTTGTGGCAATCCTCCTACCTCAGTTTCCTAAGTGTGGCATGAGCCACTATGTCCAGTGGGACATGAGTGCTCTGAAAGCTTGCCATAGCGAGACTCAGAGCCACAGTGTCAAGTCAGGTCTGGAAAGGTCTACCATTTCTGACAATGCGCTAGGATGGAAACAACCTTGCCCTGCGTACTGCAGCTATGCTCAGGCTCATCCTAGTATCTAAACCGGTGAAAACCAGAGTAATTGGGTAACATTTAAGAATACAGTATACACTCTCACAGTCAACATGACCCTACCATACACAGGAATGTCAGTTAGAGACCACCACTTATTTTAATTTCTTAAAACAACCTTACAGTCTGCTTTGTAACTAGGTTTGGAAATCATTATGTCTTTTTCTCTAGAGAGGAGCCAAAGAAAGAGGACTGTTTTCTAAAGGGAACAGTGCTTCTCTTACACTTCCTGGCAAAGAGGAAATAAAAAGCCAGATTAAAGTAGAATAAAAATTTGCAATAAATTTACCTTGAACAAGAGTGGCACTAGAGAAAACCTACTTCTCCACACACGTGTGACCTTATTTGAAGAGCATTTACAAAGATTCTAGAAGGTGAGGACTGGCTGGATACGTGAGGATCCCAATTTTTATTCCATCTTCATAGTATTTACTGTCAGTAGTTTCAGATAAATATTCAAATAGCTAGTATAATTTTATGACTGATGCTACTCAGTGTCTGCACACAGACTGATAAATATTATAAGCAATGTTATAGAAAAGTATCACTTACACAACATTCCCAGGGTAGTAACTTTGAGCAGAAACTGGAACATCTGAGCTCCTCTCCATTCTTTTATTTCTAAATTATCCTTTATAGGAAATCATTGCAGACAGAATATAAAGTAAAAATGCCAACTTTATAAAATCTGAGGGGAAGATAAGGGCTGTCCAGACAAGCGCAGACCATCAGTGTCCTCGGCATGGCTGCACTGAGTCTAACACCACAGGAGCTTGGAGGCAGCGGGCGCAGACAGAAGTGATGAAGACTGCCGGAGACAGTGTGAAGGAAGGGCAGCCAACTTCGGCAGAGGCGTCCAAGAGGTTGAGCTTGGCACAAAGCAGGTCACCTTCCAGGGGCCCCTAAACATTCATCATTACCATAGTTGCTCTCCAAGAAGAGCAGACAGCAGAAGCAATTCTTACCACAACAATACAGCAGCAGTAGAATGCCAAGTGATTATTCACGTCCTAAGAGCTCTTCCCTGGGGGAAATCAGGGGAAGAGGAAAGCAAGCATACAAACTCCAAGATGAAGTAAAATGTATTCAGATTCAGATTTTATATTAACAGGAAAACTTTAAGGAAAGAAAATTTCCCTTGAGGGAAGAGTAACTTCCTACAACTGGATGGGGAAAAAGCAGCTGCAGAGCTTTGCTGGCAGCCCTCACACTTAGGTTCTGCTCGGCTAGCCTATGGTGTGTGACTGCAGGAAGCTATGTACTATCTAGCCTCCAACCATAGGAAAGCAAGGCAAGTTCTTTCCATTATGCATGGAAAAGCCAGGTGCTTTTTTTCCCTTACTCCCCCCCCCCCCCCCCCCCCGGGCCCTCATCCTTTTGGAAAACAGGAAACAGAAGCAACAGGGCTGGGGAACAAATGAGAGGGCAAGAGTAGCAGCATCAGAGCAGCACACACTTCAACCGGCCAGGACAGCTCAGCAGAGAAGCACGACTGTGCGGTGTGACTAGACCGGGGAAGCAGCATTCTCCTGAGGAAACCAAACGTGAAGCCTACTTATTGATATTTTGATAATGATTTAAAAAGACATTCACTGCTGTAGCCCTGATAGCTCTCTTCCAGTATTCTTAACCATCAGATGCATTTGGGGGAATATTTATTCACATAATTTTGCTTAATACAGTTCTTTCTACAAAGACTGAATTTAAAAGTATCCACAACATTTTCAATTACAGTAACAACACATTAATAAATTATAAATTAACAAAATCTTTATATTTGCTTAAAAATCATTTATCAAATGCTAACTTCCAGACTATCTGGAAAACTAAAGATGCAAGTTGCTAGAAATCTGGCATCCCAATTAAATTCTGATTTTTAAAAGTATATAAAATGTCCCTCAAATTACTACAAGTCCCACTGCAGACGTGTTTATTTCACCCTTTTCATAAGGTATTAAGTTTACAGCTTGCTAAACATTTAACCAAACATGGGAAAACTGCCTGGAAATGCAAAGCACAATGAAGTAGTTACATGAAAAGAAGGAAAGATCCCTGTTAGGACAGTCACTGCGGCCCCAGCACGAAGACCTGCAAATCTGGACTTTTCAAAGTTGCATAGCTGCAGGATGGTCACTGCTAACAAGCTATTGCGCAGTTTTATTTCAGAAGAAACAATGTATTTCAGAAACTGCAATTCAGTAGACAGTTCTACATTTAATTAACTAAAATGTAATTATGTAACTTGATTTACTCTTTGGATGGCATTTTTTTATATTAAACCTTTAATTCAAACTACTAACATATTTTAGCTCTTCTACCCAGAAACCTACTTTTCACACATGGGGGGAAAAAATGGAAGAACTTGAGATTATACTCTCTCCATTCACAGAATATTATAACTGCTTTGATTACATTTCTTGGTTTCACATTGAAGAGTTTGTAAGAACTAAATTGGGTGGTTTTCAAGTTAAGAATAGGTGAATGCAGAGACATTATGTTGGGGAAAATAAAAAAAGTCCCCAAACTAAAAACAAACAAACAAAACAAATACAATAAAACAGCAGCTCTACAGAACTTAATAAAAAGTAAATCAACTTTGAAATTAGTTAACTTTGGCGTCTGAATACAAAATGTTTACCAGTATTATCTACGCAGTGACTAGTACAGGATGTGCAGCATTTTCAAAAATCCCTGTGTGTCCCTTATATGCAAGTTTGGTGAGTTCTGTGGTTCCTGACCATCTCTGGACTACTGAGTGTCACAGAACTCAGATCCTGGCTGAGCAAGCCTGCAGTTTTCATTTCTGTTTTCCAGAGACAGATCTTCCAATCTTCTAGACTTCTTAAGCATCTTGAAAAGACAAGAAACCTGCATAAAAATAAATTATTCTAAGTCATGGTCAATAATAGTAATACAAACAGAAATACAACACCCAATTCCCCATGAAGAGTGCTTTATTGCTCTAGCCTGTCATACCACCCATTTTACTACATCAGAAATTTATAAAATTATTCTGTACAACAAATCAAGAAACAGAATGATCAATTAAAGCTTAGCATAGTATTAAGAAATCAGCAAAACTTAAGTCATTCCTTTTCCACACTAGGTGCTTCAGCACACACATGAACACATACACACACACCTTCTCAAACTTAAAATCGTCTCCTCCCCAAAAGCAGGAAGCAACTTCATAATTAATCAAGAGTGTGCATATTCATGTCTCTATTTTAGGTTAGTAATTATTAAATTCTCATGTTGTAGATATAATGGAGGGCCTTGCTACTTAAAAAAGAAAAAGACTCCTTTAAAGCTTTTAGAAACAGACTCTGTTGGTTCGGATTTCTGCAGGTAGCTGTGTAGAAAGATCGACCTATCCTATGTAAGTTCATCTCAAAGCTCAGGTGACATGTGTAGAAACACCCCTAAAAATAAAGGACTAAGATGTTAAGAAAACAAATATTGTCTGAGGTTGAGAGAGATGCTGGTGACTATGAGATGGAATGTGTTCCAAATCCCATGAGCTCACTGTGTGTGACATCAACAAATAAAGTTTAGTGATGAGACCATGAAGGAAAAAACTAGGTCTGCTGTGGTCTTAGTGTTTCCAATCTCCACCCAGCAGCAACACAGCCTTTGAGGGCAATGACCACTCTTCTGCCATTCAAGGACACCTGAAGAATGATCATCAAAGACACTCAGAGCAAAGATTTTGTTCCTCATCAGCCACCTCAGGCACTTTGTTAGCTTACCCTGACCACACCAGTGCAGACTAAAAGGGGCGTGTGTATCTGCAGATTAAAGATTCAGGGATACACTTTAACATGTTAAACACTAAATTAAAAAAATACCTCTCTTTGTCTGTAGCTCAGGTTGATCAGAACTTCTGCCACCATGCCCAGCAAAACTTTATTTTATTAGCACTTATTTTTAGTATTACTTTTAAAATGCTTCAGTAATTTCCCTAACTATGCTGGCGCAGACACAGGGCAACACTTGACAGTATTTCAAAGAATCCTCGCCATCCAGAAAATGTTTTCAGGTCAGGGATACAGCTCAGTGGCAGGGTATCACCTAGCCAGCCTCGCCATCCAGAAAATGTTTTCAGGTCAGGGATACAGCTCAGTGGCAGGGGATCACCTAGCCTTTGAGAACAGAACTTAAGTTTAAGCTCTGAAACAACAACAATGACAAAAGGAAACTTTTGGGGGGCTGTGGATGTACCTCAGTGTAAACTGCTGGCACACACAAGACCGTGGGTTTGATTCCCAACACCATAAAACAAAAACAATAAAATCTTTGCCTTTTAAATAGTGAAATAAAAACACAGATGCACACATGCCCGGGGACAACCTCACTACTTTCCACTGCTCTGCGCCAGAAAATCTCACTAGCCCATTTATATTTAGGGTCCTACTAAGTGCCCAGGTGATGGTCTTTCACATGTACCCAGCTGCAGTTCTCACTTCAGAATCTATTAAGTTATCCTCACCAATGAGGCAACCAAGTTTCCTGAGTGTATCACCTCAATGCCTAGGCTTCCAAGCTAAAGAGCAAGAGATACTGATTACATCATTTATTGTATGTGGAGGCAGGCACATGGGTAGAGGTCCAAGAACAACATGTGGGAATTGGTTCTCTCCTACTAGGTGGGTCCCAGGTATGGAATCCAGGTTATCAGGCTTGGTGACAGGCACTTTTACCCACTGTTCTGGTTATGGTTATCATTGCTGTGATGAAACACCATGATCAAAAGCAAGTTGGGGAAGAAAGATTATTTGACTTACACCTCCACATCACTGTTCATCATCAAAGGAATTCAGGACATGAACTCAAACAGGGCTGGAACCTGGAAGCAGGAGCTGATGCAGAAGCCAGGGAGGGGTGCTGGTACTAGCTTGCTCAGCCTGCTTTCTTCTAAAACTCAGAACCACAATGGGATGGGCCTCTCATATCAATCACTAATTAAGAAACTGCCCTAAGGGGTTGTCTACAGCCTAATCTTCTGGAGGCATTTTCTTAGTTGAGGTTCCTTCCTCTCTGTTGACCTTAGTTTGTGTCAAGTTGACATAAAACTAGCCAACACACACAATGAGCACCTAGGTAGCCTAAAAGCACAAGAAATTATGCAAGGACAGCAGAGAACAAGACCCCAGAACAACACTCCCAATGTCTAGTCACAGCTGCTCAGCAAGTCTACTGCTAGTTATAATGTTCCCACCTTGATCATGGACTTTCTCAGTTCTCTGAAGCATTCTAAGATTCAATAAATTCTTCCAATGCTCTCCACCTTATTTTTGATACAGGGTCTTTCACTAAAGCTGGAGGTTGCCAACTAGGCTAGACTAGCTGGCCAGGAAGCTCCAGGGATCCTCCCACCTCTGCTCCCAGCACTAGGATTTCAGTGTGGACCACCTGCCCAGCTTTTCACATGGGTTCTGGGGATCTGAACTCAGCTCTTCATGCTTTCCCGGCAAGTCCTCAGCTCTCTTTCTTTAAATCACTGACTCAGATATAAATGACATGCAAAAAGTTGTACGTATACAACAGACACTTTGATGAATGGTAACCTCTCTGACCCAAAAGAATTCTTCCTGGAAAATGGCATGACATGTGCCTTACTGTTTGTTTCCTCCTAGTATTAAACTGTAGTTAAATAAACAAATGTATTTTTAAGTACCAAGAGTATTCTAGTTACTCAATAACTAACTCTATACAAGAGTCAAGAACAGTTCCTTTAATTTTTTTTTTTTTCAGTTGTTTTGGGAGTGGTTTTTGGTGCTGAAAATTAGAAGACCAGGGCTTATGACAGTTATGCGCATTCTGACACCAAGCAAACTCTTAGCCTCCTTAGTGTATCTGTAAATGTGAGTTTTTATATAGTAGTTTTACAAAATACCTAGAAAACACACAGACCTGAAACAAGCAAGCAATGTACCTCAGTGAGAAAATGGATGAGGGCTTGAGAGAGAGCTCAGCAGCAAAGGTGATGGCTTCAAAACCTGAGTTCAATTAATGGAACCCACATGGTAGAGGGACAGAACCAATTCCTGCAGGCAGGCTGTCCTCTGACCTTCACACACATTCGAAAGTTTGTGTGTGTGTGTGTGTGTGTGTGCGCGCGCGCGCGCGCGCGCGCGCACACACACACACACACACACACACACAATGTTGAAAAAAATGAACATGAAATAGTAATTCAAAATAATATTTTATAAATCAATTAAAACAAAAAAGAAACAATTACCCATAACACAGGAATCTGATGCTTAATCTGAAGGGTGCTCTGGACAAGATCTATTTACTTCAAACCATTCATCTATGCAGCTAGAAAAGAACAAAACCAGAAAAGTGTAAATCCTATGTATAATTGTATCTTAACAGTCAAAATAAAAATATCTACTACTTTAGTGCCTTTAAGGAAAAAAAAACCAAAACAGTATTTTTAATGATCACACCTGACAAATACAGTAAAAGATGTTAATTATACTTCAGTTATTTTACATTATTAAGGGGGAAATCCTTGAATAACTATACTATGACATACTTTCACATTTAAAGAGTAACTGGCCTGGCATTGGTGGCACACGCCTTTAATCCCAGCACTACGGAGGCGGAGGCAGAGGCAGGCGGATCGATGTGAGTTCGAGGCCAGCCTGGTCTCCAGAGCGAGTGCCAGGATAGGCTCCAAAGCTACACAGAGAAACCCTGTCTCGAACCCCTCCCAATAAATAAACAAACAAACAAACAAACAAACAAACAAACAAATAAATAAATAAATGAGTAGCTATTCCTTAAAGAACTACCATTTCATTAATATTCAAAAGAGTTACAAAAACATTTCCTTTTCAAAATGTTACAGGGCTGTTCAGCTTGCCTATCAAGGTAATAAAAATAGCTTCAAAATTTTAATTCTTGACAATATTGCATAACATTAAAAAATCCCATGTTTATATGTAATTATTGAACCTTTAATTCCACCCTGCTCTGCAGTCCATATATACACAGACAAAAATACCCTAATTTATTTCCATTTATACAACATTCATGATCTTATTGGAAATTATGTACAGGGAACATGTTAATTACCCTCTTTCTTTGGGTTTGTGTATGTGCATGTATGTGCACACCTGTGTATGTATGTGTGCATACACGGGGAAGGAAACACACCTTGGAGGCCATTCCCCAACTGCTCCCCACCTCCCCCCTTTAAAATGCCCCCCCCCCCCCCCCAAAAAAAAAAAACAAAAAAATAGGCCTGTCACTAGTCTGGAATTCACTAATCAGGTTAGTGAGGCTAGCTGTCCAGTGAGTCCCAGGGACCCACCCATCTCCACCTCCACAGCACTTAGATGCTAAGTGCTTGGCACCACACTAACTTTTGTGTGTGTGTTCCAAAGATTGAACCCAGGTCCTCATTCTTGCAAGGCAAGCACTTCACTGAGCTATCTTCACAGCCCATAACTATTCCCAATATAGATCTGCACTGTCCAATGCAGTAGCTATTTAAATTCATTAGTCTAATTAACAACAGAATCCAGTTTCTCAGTCCCATTTCAAGTAGTGACAGGTAATGGCTGTCCACTGTCAGCACAGTAGAACACATTTACCTCACTGTACAAAAAGAAAAAAAATTGTACACATTGTTCTCCTGATGTGTCAATTACACAGAGCCGTGGCAAATGGTAACAAAGGACAAGTAACTCAGCCAGCAGCATATGAGTGACTAAGGCAGGATTCAAACTGCTCAGAGTTTTCATTGGTGGCACATATTAATATCTACATGTTCACAAAGCCATGTTAGCTAGTATGCTGAAGGGGTAAATGAAGATATGCTATTCTTATACCTTGACAAGGTGGCTCTATAGGTTAAAGTAATAGAAAAAAGGTAAACTACCTCAATAGTCATGTCTTCCAAGTGACTAAAGCAACTCCTGATATGACTAGATTTACTCTAAATATCATACCCCAGTTTGGTTACCACATGTTTTTAGTCTGGTCTATACCACTACACCCTAAAAAAACTCTCCCATCTACAAAAACACATCTTAAAGCAAAATGCACTGGGCAGTGATGTTGCAAGTATGCCTTTAATCCCAGCACTTGTGAGGCAGAGGCAGGCAGATCTCTTAGGAGTTCAAGGCCAGTCTGGTCTACAAAGTGAGTTCCAGGACAGCCAGGGCTATTGCTCAGAGAAACCCTGTCTGGGGGGAGGGGGGAGAGGCAGTAAATAACTCTCCCATATTAGATTCTGAAACCCCTTTCTCCTAGCAGTCCCAACAGGAAATCAGTATTCTGAATTTAGTACTTTATATTCTCAGGCATTGTCTTACCACATAACTTAAAGGAATGTATTCTAAAAACATACAGTATTGCCCCATGGTTCAAAACCTAAATTAGTGCTAGTATAAGTATTATGCTTTATTTGCCTTCTTCAAAAGTGGTTTATATTTGTATTCCATTATATAAGTATAGCACATGGATTTGATGGCATAAGCCTATAATACAAGCTGTTTGGGTTGCTGAGGCAGCAACATTTTAGGTTTAAGGCCAGCCTAGAAGACTTGATGAGATCTTATTTCAAAACAAATAATGACAAAGTATATCACAATTTACTTATCTATTCTTTTACTATAAACATTCACAATTATCTATGGCGTCTCTGAAAGGTCACGAAAATTATAAATTAACCTTGTCACTAAATAGTTTGAATTGGTCTTTTAGAAAGCCACAGCAAGGCTTTCTCAGTGCTGGGTCACATCCTGGTTTAGATGCCTTCTTTCCTCTTCGTGTTAAATTTTGGGCAGTAGCTGCTCTCTCTAGACTTTTTCTGCAGCAGACTTGAGAGTAGAATGGCTGACTGATGGTATATACACTCTAATTGTAGTATATGCCTCTTTACTGAATTAATTACTAGCAATTTTTCTTTTTCAAAAATCTTTTATTGCAATTTATTCATTTATGGGCATGTATGTGTGTGTGCTCTAGTGACTGTGTGGTGTCCAAAGCAATCGGGAGTGAGCTCTTTCCTTCCACCTGAGGGTCCTGGGCATCAAAATCAGGTTGTCAGGCTTGGGGATGAGCACTTTTACCCATTGAACTATCTCACTAGCCACAATTTCTTCTTCTTTTTATTTTTTAATGTTCTATAGGGTTTTTTTTTTCTTACAGATTTTCAAGAAGCTACTATTAGTCAGGTTATCTCAGTTACAATATATATTTGGGGTGGGGACAGGGGTCTGAAACATGGTCTTGCTATGCTGATCACAAATTGGAGATCTTTCTACTTCAGCCTCCCAAATACTGGGATTACAGGTAGATACTATCATGCCTGGCACAGTATAGTGATTTTGAATAAATCTTTCTACAAAAACCATAAACTCAAAGTAACAAGGTTTGATTGGAAAAATCAGATTAAAGGCAGACTGCACAACATAATCTGTTACCAAAACAAAGACATGTTCATTTCTAATAAATATTGTACTTTTGGAATGTAATGAGTTTATCATCATGTAAATTAAAGAAGAATCCAGACTGATGGGCCATGAAGACAAAAGCCAATGCACATAAAACTGAAAACTATGACCTGGGCTCTTTTGAAACACACAGCCTGATGGGATCCAAGCAGGGCCATGGGGGTTAATTGCCCTTCGACGCTTCATTACTGCATGGCTTGTACTCAAGTGTGCTCTCGCCTGCAGCCGTACAAACAGCACTTATGGTGCTACAAAAGGTACCACATGGACCAGAGTATTACCATGTTGTCATACTATCATGCTTCTATCTGCCAACTGCAAGCAGTATCTGCGACAGCAACTAACCAAAGAGCTGTGTGCATTTCAAACACAAAACTTTTGTATTCATGTTAAGAGCCATTTCAACAACAAAGTTTAGTTTGTATCTCAAATGCAAATATGCTACAATTTTTAACAGTCAGTGCTAGCAATCTGCTAAGTTTGTCTTTTAAATTTGTCTATGTGTATGTATGTGTCTGTATATATGTGTCTGTATGTATGTGTCTGTATGTATGTAGGGCACCATGTGTGTGCAGGAGCCCTTGGAAGTCAGAAGAGGGAGTCAGATCCTCTGGAAGTGGAGTTACAGGACACTTGAGCCACCATGTGAACACTGACAAGAACAGACAAGTACTTTTATAGCTGCTCAGCCACCTTTGAGCATCCTTAAGCTTATTTTGGGGACATGGAGGGAAGGAGGGGATGTCTTTTATTTTTTTTTTTAAATCATTTTGTTATTTGAATTAGAAACAAGAATGATTTATATGACAATCCCAGTTCCCTTCTCCCTCCCTACCACCCCCCCCAAACTAAAACCCTATCACATACCCTTTCTTCTATTAAGAAGGGGATTATCTTAAGCAAAAGGAAATTTCTTACCAGAAGGTCAAAAACAATTCCTATTTTTTCCCTACTTCTTTAGACTTTTGAATTTCACAGGTATTGTTCAAACAACCTACAATTTTTATTTCAAACTTTAAAACTGATTCAACTGGTTTTCCATATCAATAACCAATTGATCCCAACACCACTCATCAACAGAATACTGTCTATGACACTGTAACACTGCCTAGAATCAAAGCATTTTTTCACTTAATTTAGTGCCAGCATTTTCCAAAATTTAACACATTTAAATCCTCACAACTACATGAAGTTTGTACTGTTGCCCTTACCTTAAACATTCAGAGACAAGAAAATTAAAACCCATCTAAAATCACATAGTAAATTAATTAGTGGAAGAGCTGGCTGCAGCCTCCATCCATGTCCTTATGGCCCTGTTGTGGTCTCCCCAGTCAGGATCATGTGTTTATGGACTATCTGTACTGTTTAACTTCTGCATCTCTTAGGGCATATATCCTAACAGGGTTAGTCTTCAAAAGTATGGTCACTGCTCTTTGGCCCTTCACTTGTTGGTCCATGTGTTTTACAAACACTGTATTCAGTTACAAGAAACTAGATTTGATAGGGGTCGCATTAACTAAACAGGCTAATTAGGGTATAAATATTATTTTTTGTAATACTGAGTTTTTGTATACACAATATTATTTACACGTATATTAATCTTAGATACCTTATGTTTCAATAGCTTTAAAGTTTTGTTTTGTTTTGCTTTTTCGAGACAGGGTTTTTCTGTATTGCTTTGGAGGCTGCCCTGGAACTTGCTCTGTAGACCAGGCTGGCCTTACAGAGATCCACCTGCCTCTGCCACCCGAGTGCTGAGATTAAAGGCGTGAGCCACCAACGCCCAGCTTAGTTTTAAATATTTTTTTTAAAGATTTTTATTTATTTATTATGTATACAACATTCTGCCTCCATGTATATGTGCACACCAGAAGAGGGCACCAGATCTCATAACGGATGGTTGTGAGCTACTATGTGGTTGCTGGGAACTGAACTCAGGACCTCTGAAAGAGCAGTCAGTGCTCTTAACCTCTGAGCCATCTCTCCAGCCCCAGTTTTAAATATTTTAAACGAAAGTCTCATACGTATTTTCTAGAAATTATTCCTAAAACATTATTGCTTTTGTAGCCTTTGCTGTTATTTTTAATGTTACTTACTATTAAAAGAAAATTCTATTTCATTATTTTTCTTTATGGGACATGAAGGCATCAATTTCCATATGTACATCACCTATCTGGCAACCCAATAAACTCTCATTGATTTTAATAATTTTTATTCCCTATCCGTCTGTCTGTGAGTCAGCCCGTCTGTCTACCCATCCATGTATGTGCATGTGTGTATGTATGCAGGTACCCTGGTGTGCATGTAGAGGCAGAAGACAGCACATGGTTATCATGCTGGTTCTCTCTCTCTGCCATGTGGGTCTGGAGGAGCAAGCGTGACTTGTCAAGCCTGGCAGCCATTGCCTTTACCTGTTGATCCACTTCACTGGCCCAGTTCTAATAAGTCACCTATTCTGTAGCCTGAGAATTTTGTTTTAAAGGTCATGAACACACACAGCCTTTTCCTTAGAGCTTCCTCATTTACTGGTTAATGGTCTCATCTTATAGATCTGTTCATCCCTAGCATAAATCCAATTTGGTTTTGAGGTAGAATTTCATTCGCTCCTTTGTTTGTTTATTCTGTGTATGAGTGTGTTATTATTGGTAGTTGGCTTCAGAACCTAAAGCAAGTGCTTCTCCACTGAGCTTATCCTTAGCACGACACACGATTTTAGACAGGCATTGTTAAATTTGGGTTTTTGCACTTAAGGTTCCTTTGCTCATGGTCTCTGTCTGGTGTCAAATCTCTGCACAGCAGAACTCACTGTCAAACCATCTCTGAAGGTCTGCTTTAGGGCTTGTTTGCTTTTCTCCAATCAATGTTTGCCATTTTTCAGGGTTAGTCTTAACTTCTTACAGCAGTCAGTAGTTGAGGTTTCAAAGTTTTTAATCATTATTTATAAAATTAAATGTTTAAGAAAATTGTCCATTTGTTAAAATTCTAAATCCAAGAATATTAGTAGTGAGTTTTCCACTTATTCTTAATTTGTAGCAAATTATGCCCTTTTCTATTTTCTCCTTCTGGAGACATTCTGTTATAGTTTTTCTGAAGAATTATTTTCAACTTTAGGACATCCTTTTTATCCAGCATCTTCTCTGTCTGCTGCTGCTCTGATGACTCCCACAGTCTACTCTGAAATCTTCCAATTACTCACTCTTGGCCCATGTCCAGACTGTTCATCACTGTCCAGTTACAGTGATTTCCCAAGTTCCCTTATGATTTATATGTTATTTAAAAGGATATCTAAGAATGAGTTCTGTTGTCATTCCTGATGTCCAATGCCTGTCAGAGTTCTGCATGGTGTCAGTTGTAAGAGTCTGCAGAGATGTTTTATGGATTAAAACACAAGTGATTTCTAGAACATTCTTTGTGTCCTTGACAGGGCAATGTATGCACTCATCAGATGAACCACAGGACTGGGGATGCAGCTTAGTGGTAAAGAATGGCTTAGTTCTTGCAAGGCCCCGAATTCTATCTCCAGTACCAAGAAATGAGAAGAGACTGGAAAGCTGGCAGCCGGGCACAGGAGTACATCGAAACCACCTGCTCCCAGGAGGCTGAGGGAGGGACAAGTGTGAGGACAGCCCAAGCTACATGGGAACTTTGAAGCTATCCTGGGCCATGAAGTTACAGACTATGTACAAAAACCAAACAAAATCAAAACTTGGCGAGCTGAAATGGCTCGATTTTTCTGTATCGTGACTTGTTTATTTTACTTATTTAGTCAGGAAAATTTAAGAATTTTCCATTATGATAACATAGCTATCAGTTTTTTCTAACAATTTATATGTTAACACAGATCATCAAGAAGAATTTTCAGCAACTCTATTCTACGTAATGCTTCCTTTGATGGTTTACTTTGTGTGATGTTGGTACATATTGCTAGTTTAGTTGTTAGTGCCTGGATATAGTTCTTTATCCTTTTAATTCCGTATTTGTCTGTACCTTTAAAGCATGTTGCTTATCAATACCATATTCTAATATTTCACCTACTTTCAATTTATTCTTATACATACAATTACTGGTATGTTTGGATTCATTTTTGTCTCCTTATTTAAAATTATTTACTCTGATTTCTCTATGTTTTTGCTATCTCCCTCCATTCTTAAGTAATTATAATTTAAATGCATTTCATTATTTCTCTTGTGTGTATATGTGTAGACATGTGCATTTGAGTGCTGGTGCCCTCTGAGGCCAGAGGTGTTGGACCCCACTGCCTATACCCTCCCCCAAAGCTGGAGTTACAGGTGGCTATGAACTGCTTGACACAGGTGCTGGGAACTGAGCTGACCAGGATGTGCTCCTAACACCTGAGCCGACTCTCCAGTCTCCAGCTTTCTATTCTTTATGTGGCTGCTACCTTAAGTTGTGGCTGTTTTTGCAACAGGGTCTCTCTCTATAGACCAGGCTGGCCAGTAATTCAGAGACCCACCTGCCTCTGCCTCGAAAGCTGTGATTAAAGAAGTGCCCTACCATGTCTAGCTTTGCTTTGTAAACTAAAAATTGTTCTGTATTATTCTGAAAGCAAAAAGAACATACAAAAGACCAGATGGGCTTTGGAGTCAATCTCCTGGAATTCCGTCTGTTGAAATCTCGGCTTGCCATTTGCTAGAAATAGAGGCCTGGAGAAAGAAACTCCTTAATGTCTCATTTCCCAGCTGTAAAGTCAAGTGGCTGCTAGGCTTACACAGACCACCTGCTGACCTAGCTGAAAACATCTGCACCACACTGAGTGCTTTAAAAATGGCAGTCTTTTAGATACTATAGATGTCTGTTCTGAGCAAAGGGGAGAAGGGGAGGTCGGAGGGATGTAATTGGGATTCTAAATTGAGCAGAAGAGTTTGAATGAAGAAACCTTTTAGCCTTAACTACAATGTTTGAAACAGAGAATAATCACTAGCTTAGTTAAAGCAGCACTAACTCACCCTTTATGATATACACACAGGCAAGGCAGTCGCGCTATGGTGTCTCCCTGCTGCAGCTCTTCGAGGCATATTGCACATTCCCCAGCATCTTTACTCAGCACATCCTCTGTGAAGAAAAAATGACTTCAGTACAAGACGAGCTCAACACCAAAGCCACCAGAGAATGACTTACCACACGGTACTACTATATCAAACTCAGCACCTGTGCTCAAAGTGCTGCTCACACTGAGTGCCGCTCATCAAATCAAGACGCCTCACATTCCCATTTCACTGAGGCGTAAGAGGAAGCAAGGACAGACGATACAAGTTCTCAACTTACACAAGATTCTAATCCAAAAAAAGTCAACCCTTGCTGGACCCAAGCCTTTCCCTTTGTGTTTTCTCCCGAAATTAGAGCGGCGTTCCTTTCTGACTCCTCCTTGCCCCTTTTCTTTATCTCCAGTGAAGTCTTTGTGTCTAGCCTATCTTTTAAGGACCCAATTTACAGTTAAAGCACTAAACAAATAAGGCAGCAGGGAGAGCAAAAGATGATGGGTTTCTTCCCCAACATTGCAAAACAGAGAAGAAACACTTTGTAAAAGTTTGCAATTTTTTTAAAAAAAATAGTATATTCCTACCATGTAGATTTTATCCACAAAGACAAATCAATTTGAAAACTGCAAATGAATTTTCTAGTAAGCTTTGAAACTGAAGCACTACTTCTTATGCAACCCATAAATAATTATAAGATTGGTTTTATATAACACAAGTAAGAAAAATAAGTGATGACACACAATCCTAGCACACAGAAAGCTTAGGCAGGAGGACTGCAAGTTGAAGGTTAGCCTGGGTCATACACAGACGCTGTCTCAAAAAGAAACAATTAAAAGCAAGCAAAACTGCAGCACATGTTGATCTTAAAACATCAGTCTCTCCTAGATGACTGACAATGCACCCAGACTTCTGTAGGAAATAACTCCCAAGTCTCATCACAAAATAAGACAAATGAGATGAGCATTTGAAAACCATTTTCCTGTAACTCCACATAACAGCTTCAACATGAAATAGAAATATGTAGAACTTTAACATGCTCTGAATATATGGTTCAAAGAAAAACAACTGACTTCTAACATTTCTAGGCCAACCTATAACCAAGTCTCATTTCTTTATTATAATAAGTATTTTAAAAATACTCTGCCATGATAATTTTAGTATTTATTAAAGCTAAAACATCTAACTAACATTTTTATTTATAAATAGTATTTTATTCTACCTATAAAACTCATATAATAATGGCAAATCCAATCTATAAAATTATATTTTAAGACTCTAAGAGTTAAGAATAAGAATTACATTTTAAGGATTCTCTATAATGCTCTTTTAACTTGACGGGTACAAGTCTGAATGCTCAGATACTGTCTACCTTAATTCTGAATGCTGTATTAAAGCCAGTTATTGTGATCTTTAATTCTATTCAGCTCCAGTACAATGGCAACTGTACTTGCAGTATCAAGACAGGCGTACCCACACAAACACCCCAGACAGAAACTTACAGTCAAAGGTCAATCTCTGCTGGGAACAGCTAGCTTCCTGTAAAACTCTATCAGACAATTCAAAGCCAATGTTAACACTCCAGCTACTCAATGCTCAAATGTAATCTGGTAAGCAACTAAGTTAGAATATGTTCATTCTTAAAATAAAACCTCATAATCACTGTCTCAAGGAAAAAATGCTCAGATTTTCAAAATCTGAAGTCCCCCCCCATAAAACATTTTTACAGTTAAAAACAAATCACATGCAATGTGAAAATTGAGCTGCATTTTTCAAAGTGTCCATCACTGACCTAGCACATCTGGAGCAGTTAAGAGAGGAACTGGTACACTGTATACCATTCTACATTTCTGGTTCCTAATAATATATAATATGTAATATGTAATATATAATGGGATGCCAGAGTCCCTTGAGGGGTACATTCTAAACACAGAAACAGACACATGAGCTTCTCTGCGTTTTGGAATATACACCTGCTTCAGAAAGGGGACTGATCGGTCATTAGGTCATTAAAGAAGGGATGGGGCAGGAACAGCAGGTCAAAATAGGAAGTGCATGGGATCTGAAGTCCAGCTGGGCATGGTGACAGTCCTATAACCACACTCAATAGGCCAAGACGGGAGGAGTTATTCAAGGACAACTATGGTACACCGTGAGAAATGGGGGAGGGGGTGAGACCACCCAGAAAAAGTTTATGGGTTGGGCACGGTGGCACATGCCTCTACTCACAGCACTTGGGAGGCAGAGGCAAGAGTATCTTCCATGAGTTCGAGGCGAACCTGGTCTACAATGGTGAGTTTGAGGATAGTCTGGACTACATATAAGTGAGGTCCTGTCTCAAAAACAAAAAACAAAACTAAATTAAAATGTTGAAAACTGAAAACTTAATACAGATTTCCATTTTGCTAGTAATTTGACTAAGTCAACCTCTGAAACATCCCTATTACTTGTCTTTAGTATTAACATAGGAAATGTACTCAAAACACTGGGAAGAAGAGGAAGGATGCAGAGGTCATGAGGGAGCAGAAAGGTTGAGTCAGGTGTAGATTAGAAGAAAGGGTGTGTGACAGGTAGGGTTTTAGTTGGGGGGGTGGTAGGGGAGGAATGGAGGGAGAAGGGAACTGGGATTGTCATGTAATTCAATCTTGTTTGTAATTCAAATAAAAAAATGAAAAAAATAAAAACAATGAAAAAAAAAGAAAGAAAGAGCTACCATAATAAGAAAGAAAAAAAAATCTTAAAATTGTACTATGTAAGTTACAAAACACTACATGAAATCTGTTTTATTAGTAGGGAATACTTTATGGACTTCTTCAAAAAACAAAGCCAAATTAGCATCCTATTCTTTTTCCTCCTCATCCTGATACACCAGTTGTTCAGAGAAATCTATGTTGACCAGGATCACCTGAGATACTCCTGACCTAGCCTTCTTTATACACCCATTCCAATAGCCAGAATAGAACACCACGCAAATGACTGTGCCCAATATGGCATATACCGTGGTTTCACGCACAGAAGGCAATACAAACTGGCACTTTATTACATTCTTTTGGACTTACTTGTATTTTATGTTAATCTTATACAGAATAGATTGTTATCTACATTTACACATGAGCAAAAAAGCTTGAGGAAGTTAAGTAACTTAACAGAAGCACTTGTGTTCTAGGACCAAACTTGGATTTAGGTTAGCTAATTTAGTACGTTTTTACTTATTGCATGAATTTTGCTCTAAGGAATAATTTCACTTCATTTTAAAAAAACCTTCAAATTAAAGTAGCATAAATATTGAAACAAATGAACAATTTTAGAACAAACGTAAGTGTATGAAATACTCAAGCTAGAGAGGACCACATATTTAGAGAAAGTATTCTTTCTTTCTTTTTTAGCTTCTTTTAGAACTCTGTGCCTGCTAGTGCCCTCAGGTCAGAGGTGTTGGATCCCCAGAGTTGGAGGCACAAGCAGTTGTGAGCTGCCTGATATAGGTGCTAGGAATTGACCCGGGGTCTTCTGTAAGAGCAGGACACCTGTAACTACCATCTCTCCCCAGCCCCTGTTCCCACTTCACCGTCAGGAGTTACTCATACATTGTAAAGGCGGTAGTTCAAAACGCTCACACTCCACTGCTGCAACAGCTTAAAGCAATTCTGGCCAACAACAGGTTTTATTATAAAAGAAGCAGTATTATCTGTGCTATCTACAGTGGCCACATACAGAATGGCACCAGCTCTTGAATTTTCAGCTTTGCTTGTGGTAAAATATCAAACCTCAAAATATATAATAGCTAATAAACATACATTTCAAAGCTAACCATAAGCTTCTGTAAATTGGTATTTCACTTACAGCTTCTCAAGCTCTTTAAGTTTGCATTGTCCAAAGAGATTACTTACAATTCAAGCAGCCAACTATGCAAAATTAAATATTTAGCAGGTCCAAGCACATATCCATATAGTTATTGTGGATCAAGACAACATGAAGAAAAGCAGACAGCCATAAATCTCCAAAAGCCAAAACAAAACCAAGGCCGAGTGTCAGGCAGCCAGGACTCCATGCACAAGTCTAAATCAGCACAGTCCCTTCCAGACAAGCATCCAAACAGGAGTTCATCTTTCCAGGCAGCACGATGCCGAGCGCTATCACGGGTCAGGAGTTTTACCTGAAGGGTTACGCTTCCTTGAACCCTCAATGATAGCAGAAGAAAACAAAAGCAGCTGAAATGTGAAATAGTCCCTAGAAAAATCAAGAATTAAAAAAAAGTCACAATATTAGTAAAAAGCAATTACTCAAATAATGAAAAGTGGGGGCTCTCTTATTAATATTTTCAGATATTAACTCTTAATTAGTTTAAAAGGAGTTAATGCTAATATTTGACATTTCAGATCCACAAGCTGTGGTTTAACTCAAATACTGTAACACAGCTTATAAATATTTAACAAAGTGATGCTGATTTTTAAGTTAAATATATCAATAAAAGTATCAGCCTTTCTTAGTGTGCCTCACACTGGAAATCCCTGGTGTGTGTTGGTTCTTATCCCTTTCAGAACCCTATTCTTGGACCACCTAGGCTTTACTAGCTTCTCTGCCTCCACACCACCAAAGTCAGCATGTGTATGTTTTCTTTTGTGTAAATATAACTAGGAATTGATTCTATTAACCATGCAGCTACTCTTCAACTGTACTGTTACAAACATTCTGAAAGTAACATCAACTCCTTAGCTTCAAGTGGTGGCTCTGGTCTAAAATCCCTCGCACACAGGATTAGAGGCCAGCTTGGACTCCATAGTAATGTAGTCCATATGTCTCAAAAGCCAACAAAATACTACTTAAAAGCCAAAATTTTAATAATTTAAAAATTATATGGTTGGAAATATTTTGGAAATTCAAACTTCACATCTCCTCCAAGAAAATGTGACCAAAAGAAAATGCACTTGGGCCTGGAATGGGAAAACTGGGACAGAACGGATGAAAAGACGATTTTCAAATCACATTTCCACTCCCACAGTGACCTAAATGTAAGCTCAAAACAAAGTACTGAATAAAGGTAAATTCCTAATAGGCTGCCAATAGCCCCACAAGCCA